GAGAGGACTAATAAGAAGATCGTGTGGGGTGCAATTACGTGTGAGGATGAGGTCAAGCTGTTTGCCGGCTTTGTGGGTTGCTGGTGTGGTGAGCTGCTTGAGGTCAAATGTGTGAAGGAGAGCAAGGAAGTCAGCTGCATGTGGCTTGTCTAGATGAATGTTGAAATCACCAAGGACCAGAAGAGGAGTTCCATCATCTGGGATGGTGGATAGTAGCGTGTCGATCATCGATGAACTTTCCCCAGTTGTGACTGGAGGACGGTAAACAATGAGAAAGTGCATTTTTGCAGGGACAGTGACCATAACAGCATGAAATTCAAAAGAAGTGTATGAGCAAGAGGGAGAAAGACAGGTAAATTTCCATGTTTTGGAGAGAAGCAAACCTGTACCACCCCCTCGTCTGTTGGGGCGTGAGGTATGGGAGAAGTTGAAGTTGGAGGCCAGGGCAGCTGGTGTGGCAGTGTTCTCAGCATGGATCCAAGTCTCAGTCAGAGCCAGCACACTGAGGTTAGAGTGGGTTGGAAATGCAGAAATGAAATCTGCCTTGTTGACAGCAGATTGGCAGTTCCAAAGTCCGATTGAGAATGAGATGGAACCTGCAGAGGCCGCATTCAGAGAGCGTAGGTTGTCCAAGTTGCGTCCGTTTTTGGGAGAGTGCCACCGTCTGCGCCTGTGGCAAATGACAGGGATAAACTGATGACACATGTTAGTGTGTGTAGACAGGTAAACGAGAATAATAAGGGAGAAAAAGTATACTTAGCAGCACGTGTGATGTCTTGTCGGTGTCCTTGCTCGGTGGACTCACGCAGGTAGACTCGCAGGTCTTTACACGAGCTTGGTCTTCACACGACAAGGGCTGACGCTTCCGCTGACGCTTCCGCCTCAGCGTTTCTTACTTGATAAATACTGTTGTGTTTCAGCTGAGCACGCCTCTTTAATTAGGTTTCTGCATTTAATTGAATTAAACTATCCATTTGCATCCTAAACTTGGCACTCTGCTGTAATTCATTCATTCTGTTTGTAATCTGATTCAAAGATACATTTTTCCAAGGAGTGTAAATGTGGTTAGTACATCATTTCAGCATGTTAGCTGAGTTTGGTGGCATATTTGGACAACAATCTCCATCTCAAATTTACATACCCCTTTCAGAATCAGCAAAATGTTAATAATCTTTAAAGGTATTGTTGCGGGGAGGTATTTCTTAAACTCAGCAACTCACAACTGGCGTTCTGCAGGGGTCAGTTCTGGGTCCACAGCTCTTTCTATCTACACTACATCTCTGGGGCAGATGAAGGAGTCTCATGGCTTCTCATACCACTACTATGCTGATGACACCCAGCTTTATTTGTCCTTCCAGCCTGACAATCCAGCTGTCTCTGTACGAATCTCTGCTTGCCTGTTGGACATCTTGGTCTGGATGAGATAACATTACCTTAGCTTAACCTGGCAAAATCTGAGCTTCTCGTCATCCCAGCCTGTTCCTCAATCAACAACAACCTCACTGTACAGCTTGGCTCAACCACAGTCAAGTCAACCAGAATGGCCAGGAACCTTGGGGTGATTCTTGATGACAACTTGACCTTTACAGACCACATCTCAACAACTGCATGGTCCATAAGGTTCATCCTGTACAACATCAAGAAAATCAGACCCAGAACAGGCTACACACCCACTAGTCCAGGCTCTTGTTATCTCAATACTGGACTACTGCAACTCACTACTGTTGGGCCTCGCAGCCAGCTCCATTAAACCCCTTCAAATGGCCTTGATGCTCACCTACAAGAAGACCTTGTCTGGAACAGCACCCTCCTACCTCAACTCTCTCCTGAAGGTTTACGTTCCCTCATTTATCTGCAATCAATCAATGGCTGACACTTAGTAGTACCTACTCAGCGTGGTTCAAAGTCCCTTTCAAGAACCTTCAAACTAACTGTTACTCATTGGTGAAAGAACTTCCAACCTCAATCCAGAATGCAGAATCTGTCACCATTTCCAAGAAACAGCTAAAGACCTGTGAACACCTAATCAACCCGTAATAAAATAAATAAATAAATAAACAAACCTTCATCTGGCACTTACACCTCTACTCTGTGCACTTTGCTTCTTCTGGAACTCAATTAAAGATCTTTGTATAGTAAAACTACTTGTATTGTTCTCTGCTTGATATCGCTTTGTTTGTATTTTCTCATTTGTAAGTCGCTTTGAATAAAATCGTCTGCTAAATGAAAATAACGTAATCAAAAAAAATAAGATGGGTCATTAAAATTGCATTTTGTATTTTTATTTTGCACTGCCGTATATAAGCTATTTCACATAGCAGATGATTATATATGGTCCACAAGACACAATAATAACTGAATTTTCACAAATGAACCAGTTAAAAAGTTTACATATGCTTAATTCTTAATACTGTGGGTTATCAACGGATGATCAACGATCATCATGTTTCACGTTTTGTGATAATTGTTCATGAGTCCCTTTTTTGTCCTGGGCAGTTAAACTGCCCTGCACATTCTTTGCTTTTCCAGAAAGCTTCTTCTGCATATTTGAGCCCTTTCCAACAGTGGCTATATGATGTTGAGATCCATCTTTTCACACCAAGGACAACTGAGGGATTCATACACAACTATTACAAATGGTGCAAACATTCACTGATGTTCAAGAAGATAACACACTACATTAAGAGCCAGGTGGTGTAAACTTTTGAACAGGATGATTGGTGTAATTTGTTATTATTTTGTTTAAAGATTTTTTTTTTTCATTTAGTACCGCCTTTCAGAAGTTACATAAGATATTTACATGTTTCCCAGAATACGAAATAATAATAATTTACATGGATAATCCTGTTCAAAGTTTACACCCCCCTGGTTCTTAATTTATCATGTCGGTTTCCTGAGCATCAGTGAATGTTTGCACCTTTTGTGAACACATCTGTAATAGCCCCCAAGTTATAGAACAAAAATTCTGAAGAATTTGTGACTGTAGTACTTAGTGTTTAATATTTTATTAAAGATTTATCAAGGTTTCTATGCAGAAAATAACAGAAATGTACACAATACCCGTCAGTAATAATCAACTTTTTGCATTACTCATTTAGTGTTCATTATTTTAAAAGTACTAGTATAAGTAGTCTCTGGAAGGTAGCACTGTCTCCTCACAGCTCCAGGGTCTCCAGTTTGATCTTGAGGTCAGGTCTGTGTGGAGTTTTGTCACTGTGTCTGTGAGGGTTTTCTACTGAGTCTCTAAAAACATGCCAGTAGGTGGATTGGTGACTCCAAATTACCCCTAGATGTAAATTAGTTCAAATATTTGCTTGTGCATGTTGTACCATCCAGGTATTTCTGCCTCACACCAAGAGTTTCTGATAGAATACACTGCAACCCTGACCAGGATAAAGTGGTTAATGAAATTAATGAATAAATGATGATGATAATGAATAATAACAACAAGAACAACAATTATTATTGTTATTATTGTTGTTGCTGTTGTTGTTAACCATAGAATTCTTACTGAATAGTGAATATCAAATTCTGGGCCAAATATACTGAAGTGACATTGCATCCTGAATCTATTTAAAGTACTTAGCTGTATACCCATCCATATTAATATTAATATTAAAGATATTTAGCATGGTAAAGGCAATCCTGGATTATTAAGTTGCATGTAAACATACAGTATTTAAAGAGTCTAAAATTTCTTATGTTATATGTAGCTGTCTTATCTTTTTAAATATGCTATAATAACCACAAGTTGTGGATTAGCCGCATATGGGTCCCACTGCCTCCAGCTCTTATGTTGGACATCCTCCACAGTTTTCTATATGCATGCAGATTTCCCTGTGTCATTATGTGAGTCCAAACCCTACCACACTATCTTATTTTTATTACTCACTTGTTGAGTTATTTATTTAGGCCCTCAGTTTTCATTTGGTCTGGTTGACTGACTCAATCGATTCTTTGATGTGGAAAAGGAACCATGGTGATAAAGTATTGATGTTTGTAGACACCCAGAATTACTGTAATTCTGTCAATTTTCATGTATTTTTAAATAATTATTCCAAGGATTCCTAAAGTGATGTTTTATAGTAATTTACAAGTGTAGACAAGTATAGCTATGTTGTTTCAACCATATTCTAGGGATATTAAAACATACTGCTCAAAATATAAAGGTTTTCAGTGTTTAGTTAAAAAAAAGGAGATAATTTTCTTTTTGGACTCAGGTGTTTCTACTTTTAAAATAACTATTGATTTGACAGGTGAGCACTTATGTTTGAAAGTAGTTGAGGGAAATAATATTGAACTGCAAATCAATATTGTATACATGTCTAAATGTCAAGTGAACCATGCTGTATTGCTGTCAGATTATCAATATTTTTGTTTTATGCATATCTCAAATATATTTCACAGTGCTTATTACTGGAAGACCTTTAGCCAGACTTTTTGTTTTTGTTTTTTTGTCTTTTCACACTGGTATATCACGTAACTGCAAATTCACAAACATCTGTTCAGTGTTCAATAGTTTACTGACCTCATATTGCAAATGAAGAAGACCAAGCAAATTTGCACAAGATGGTTACTAATAAAACAGTTGCACAATGGATTTCTCAGTGCTGAAAAGTGCAGATCATCAACGTTTTAAGAAGTATGGTGCAACTCGAAAAACAGAAGAAATTTCACAAAATGTAAATACTGGGAAATAATATTAATGAACTTGCAAATATCAGAATGAGCAAACAGATATAATGGTAGGATTACCAATGTATAATTTCAAACAAACTACAGTTCTGACCTATACTGTACTACCCTAGAGGATAAATAGCTATATTTTTTCCCTCTTTCGGCTGCTCCCTTTTGGGGTCGTCACACTGGATCCACATATTTTGATTCTGGCACAAGTTTTATGCCAAATGAACTTCCTGACACAACCCTACACATTTTCCTGGCTTGGACTGGCACTGAGAGTGCATCGACTCATTCAACCCTCAAGTGGTAAGGGTTGGTTCCCTGACCGGTAATCGAACCTGGGCCACAGCAGTGAGAGCACCACATGCTAGCCACTAGTCCATCAGGGAACCATCTTATGAATATGTGCAAACAAATAATTATCTTAATTACAGTAATTATTTGAAAACTGAATATGTTAATCTAACTACTTAAGCACTTACAGTCATGGACAAAATTATTGGCACCCCTGGAACTTTTTCAGAAAATGCACCAATGCACCCAGAAAAGTGTTGCAATGACAAATGTTTTGGTATACACATGTTTATTCCCTTTAAGTGCATTGGAAAAGCACAAAAAAGCAGAAGAAAAAAGGCAAATTTGACATAATTTTACACAAAACTCCCAAAATGGACTGGACAAAATCATTGGCACCCTATTAAAACTGTGGGTAAATAATTTCATTTCAAGCATGTGATTTTCATTTAAACTCACCTGTGGCAAGTAACAGGTGCTGGCAATATAGAAAGCAAAACTGAAGCCAGTTAGAGTGTATAAAAGTTGGCTCAACCTTTTGTGTTGTGTGCCTGTGTGAGCCACACCAAGCATGGAGAAGAGAAAGAAGAGCCGAGAATTGTCTGAGGACTTAAGAAGCAAAACTGTGGAAAAATATCAACAATCTCAAGGTTACAAGTCAATCTCCAGAGACCTTAAAGTTCCTTTGTCCACTGTGTGCAATTTAATCAAGAAGTTTATAACCCATGGAACTCTGGCAAATCTACCTGGACGTAGACGGAAAAGAAAAACTGATGAAAGAATGCAATGCAGGACAGTTCGAATGGTGGATAAACAACCTCAGTCAACTTCCACGCAAATTCAGGCTGTCCTGCAGACTCAGGGTGCATCAGTGTCAGCTCGAACCATACGTCGTCATCTGAATGAGAAGAAGCACTATAGCAGGAGACTGAGGAGAACCCACTTCTGACACAGAGGCATAAAAAAGCCAGACTGCAATTTGCAAAAATGTACCTGAGTCAGCCTCAATCCTTCTGGGAGAATGTTTTGTGGGCAGATGAGACTAAGGTAGAGCTTTTTATGTCATTCTACTGTTTACAGAAAATGGAAAGAGGCCTACAAAGAAAAGAACACAGTACCTACAGTCAAACATGGTGGAGGTTCAAGGATGTTTTGGGGTTGTTTTGCTGGATGCATTGACTGTGTGCAAGGAATCATTAAATCTGGAGACTATCAAAAGATTTTGGCCCATAATGTAGGGCCTAGTGTCAGAAAGCAGGGTCTGCGTCAGAGGTCATGGGTGTTTCAGCACGACAATGACCCAAAACATACCTCAAAAAGCACCCAGAAATGGTTGGAGACAAAGCGCTGGTGAATTCTGAAGTGACCATCAATGAGTCCGGATCTAAATCCCATAGAACACCTATGGAGAGATCTCAAAATTGCTGTTGCGAGAAGGCACCCTTCAAATCTGAGAGACCTGGAGCAGTTTTCAAAAGAAGAGTGGTCCAAAATTCCAGTTGAGAGGTGTAGGAAGCTTGTTGATGGTTATAGGAAGCGATTGGTTTCAGTTATTTTCTCCAAAGGGTGTGCAACCAAATATTAATTTGAGGGTGCCAACAATTTTGTCCGACCTAATTTTTGAGTTTTGTGTAAAATGATGTCAAATTTGCCTTTTTTCTTCTGCATTTTTGTGCTGTTCCAATGCACTTAAAGGTAATAAACATGTGTATACCAAAACATTTGTCATTGCAACACTTTTCTGGGAGAAATGGTGCATTTTCTGGAAAAGTTTCAGGGGTGCCAATAATTTCGTCCATGACTGTATACTGTATACAGTTGAAATCAAAATTATTCAACCCCTATTACAAATCAGGTTTAATGTCAAAAGTTACAGACTTTCAGCTGTTTGCAATCAACTCATCAAACAAAAGCAATTGATATAGTTCAACACAACAAATGAGTGGTTTCCACAAATTCAACTGAAAATGCAACTTATAATGATATCTCCAGTTTCAAAATTCTTCGGCCGTCTGAAAAGAATCCCCCAGAACAGCATAAATATGCAAAATAGGTGTATGCAATCAAGGGCTTCATCAGTTACACCAGGTGTGCTTGAGCTGGAACACATGAAATACCTGAACTGGCTTGGGATTTGTTGAGCGTACACTATGGGGCAGAAAAAGGAAGCTATCAATGCAACCAGGTTTCTGAGAAGGCCGGTTGTGAAAAACCCTCAAGTGACTGTAAAAGACCTGCAGCAAGATGTGGTGGCAACAGGCACTGAGGTTTCAGTGAGCACAATAAGGCATGTACAGTGGTGTGAAAAAGTGTTTTCTCCCTTCCTCATTTCCTGTTCCTTTGCATGTTTGTCACACTTAAGTGTTTCGGAACATCAAACCAATTTAAACAATAGTCAAGGACAACACAAGTAAACACAAAATGCAATTTGTAAATGAAGGTGTTTATTATTAAAGGTGAAAAAAAATCCAAACCATCATGGCCCTGTGTGAAAAAGTGATTGCCCCCTAAACCTAATAACTGGTTGGGCCACCCTTAGCAGCAACAACTGCAACCAAGCGTTTGCGATAACGTGCAATGAGGCTTTTACAGCGTCCTGGAGGAATTTTGGCCCACTCATCTTTGCAGAATTGTCCTAATTCAGTTACATTAGAGGGTTTTCGAGCATGAACGGCCTTTTTAAGGTCATACCACAACATCTCAATAGGATTCAGGTCAGGACTTTGGCTAGGCCACTCCAAAGTCTTCATTTTGTTTTTCTTCAGCCATTCGGTGGTGGACTTGCTGGTGTGTTTAGGATCATTGTCCTGCTGCAGAACCCAAGTTCGTTTCAGCTTGAGTACACGAACAGATGGTCGGACATTCTCCTTCAGGATCTCTTGGTAGACAGCAGAATTCATAGTTCCTTTTATCACGGCAAGTCTTCCAGGTCCTGAAGCAGCAAAACAGCCCCAGACCATCACACTACCACCACCATATTTTACTGTTGGTATAATGTTCTTTTTATGAAATACAGTGTTCCTTCTACGCCAGATATACTTGGACACACACCTTCCAAAGAGTTCCACTTTTGTCTCATCGGTCCACAGAATGTTGTTCCAAAAGTCTTGGGGATCATCAAGATGTGTTGTGGAGAAATTGAGACGAGCTTTGATGTTCTTTTTGCTCAGTAGTGGTTTTCTCCTTGGAACTCTGCCATGCAGGCCATTTTTGCCCAGTCTTTTCCTGATGGTGGAGGCATGAACGCTGACCTTAGCTGAGGCAAGTGAGGCCTGCAGTTCTTTGGACGTTGTTGTGGGGTCTTTTGTGACCTCTTGGATGAGTCGTCGCTGCGCTTTTGGGGTAATTTTGGGCGGCCGGCCACTCCTGGGAAGGTTCACCACTGTTCCATGTCTTCGCCATTTGTGGATAATGGCTCTCACTGTGGTTCGCTGGATTCCCAAAGCTTTGGAAATGGCTTTATAACCCTTTCCAGACTGATAGATCTCAATTACTTTCTTTCTCAATTGTTCCTGAATTTCTCGGCATGATGTGTAGCTTTTAAGGATCTTCTGGTGGACCTTACTGTGTCAAGCAGCTCCTATTTAAGTGATGCCTTGATTGTGAACAGGTGTGGCAATAATCAGGCCTGGGTGTGGCTAGAGAAATTGAACTCAGGTGTGGACAACCACAGTTATAGTATGTTTTAACAAGGGGGGCAATCACTTTTTCACACAGGGCCATGATGGTTTGGATTTTTTTTCACCTTTAATAATAAACACCTTCATTTACAAATTGCATTTTGTGTTTACTTGTGTTGTCCTTGACTATTGTTTAAATTGGTTTGATGTTCCGAAACACTTAAGTGTGACAAACATGCAAAGGAACAGGAAATGAGGAAGGGGGCAAACACTTTTTCACACCACTGTATTAAATGCAGTAGGTTTCCATGCCAGAACTCTGACTCAAAAGTACAAGAAACGTCAGCTCAAACTCATATAATTAAGCCTCAGAATTTGGTGATTCTGTTCTGTGGAGCAATGAAACAAAACTGGAACTTGTCAGCAAGATGGATCGGCGGTATGTCTGGAGGAAGAAGAATGAAGAAAGAACACTCTGTCCACAGTCAAGCATGGTGGTGTCTTGGTGATGCTCTGGGGCTGCATTGCATCCTCTGGCACTGGAAACCTGCAGCATTTTGATGGCAAGATGGACTCATTGAAGTATCAGGAAATCCTATGAGAAAATGTCATGCCGTCTGTGAGGAAATTCCTCCAAGGAATTCCTCACACCTCAAATTCCACCAAGGCTTGGTTGCAGAAGATGTCCGGGAAGATTCTACAGGGCCATCACAGTCACCTGACTTGAACCCATCAAAAATCTCTGGTGGGATTTAAAGAAGGCGGTTGCAGCACTCAAACCCAAGAATATATCTGAACTGGAGGCCATTGCTTATGAGGAATGGGCTAAGATTCCTCAGGAAAGCTGCCAGGAGCTATGCATCTCATTTGCAGCAGGTCATAACAGCAAAAGGGTGCTCTAAGTGCTAAAGATGATCGCCATGAAGGAGTTGAATAATTTTGAAACTGGATAAATCATCATAAAATGCATTTTCAGTTGATTTTGGGGAAACAACTTGAAGCATTCATTGTGTTGAACTATTTCAATTACTTTTGTTTGATTTGTTCATTGCAAACAGCTGAAAGCCTGTACATTTTGACAACAAACCTGATTTGAAATGGAGGATGAATCATTTTGATTGCAACTGTATATGAGTCTTTAAGATGAAACCCCTTGCCATGTCAGGCAAAAGCATCACTTTAATTATGACTGAAACTATTCCTTGATATATTTTATTGGCATGACTATTACATCCTTCCATGGAGTAATATCTGGAATACAAGTGTCAAACTAATGTTTAAATGTTTTGATTAACATTTACATGAGCATTTTCCCACTGGAACTACAAAGATTAGCCACTGGTGCAAACTGCAAAGTGAGGTTTTGTGAGCACTCACTAACAAACAGCAAGCTCCATGCATGCAATTCTGACATGTACAGAGTGCCTCTTTCCCCCTTATTACTTTTCTATCCTTAGGCTAGAATTCCACTCATT